GACATAACTATCTGTCATCTGAAGGGATTATCCCAGGGAAATGCTGCACCCTATCTAGAAGACCTTGCCCAGAAAGCTGTCGATATTGTTCCAAGCTTGAAGTGAAATACGAGCTGCTAATCCATTCGTATGTCAAGTTACGAAATCAGCAACGTCTGATCCAGATCCATGGAGTGACGAAGTCAGGAAAGACCAGTTGGAAGATGCTGACATTAAACCCATACTTTATTTAATGAAATCTTGAAACAGGAAGCCTACCTGGCTGGACATTTTAATCTGTAGCCTTACATCAAAACAATATTGGGCTCTCTGGGACTCTGTGCACATTTTAAATGGTATCTTGTACCAGAATTTCAAATGAGATGATGGAAAACCATTATGATGGCAGCTGATCCTGGCTACTACATAGCAGCCCAACAGGAGGCCACTTCAGAATAATGCAGATGTTGCATAAATATCAACAATGCTTCTACTGGAGTAATTCAAAGGCTGATATGCAGAAGTTGTGTCAATCTTGGGATGCCTAAGCGGTAGGGCTGGAGAAACATAGCTGAGCAAAGCTGCAACATTACAGTCTTCTATCGCCTTTGACATCCTGGTACCACTACCACGAACTACAAACACATCCTCGTTGTCATTCATTACTTCACCATGTTCTGTGAAGTGTATCCTATTCTTCATCAAGAGGCTGTCACAGTAGCAGAGTTAATGACAGAGCACTGGATTTCCAAGTTCGAAGTATCTCTTCAGTTACATTTCGATCCTTGGGAAGTGGGCGATGTTACAAATTTTGTACATAGAACCCTTTGGTAAAAACATTTTATCAAGCTATCATCAATTCTTTGTGCATTCAATCTGTCATGAACCCGTATGCCTTCAACACGATGTTGTAACACAGTAAGGATGTGTGTCATCGGTCATTAGTAAAGCTTTGTGTTGCCACTCTGCAGAGCATAAGATTTTTTCTTTCAAATTAATTCGGAAAATTCCGCAATGTAGAAGATTTATTATCACTTGTAATATATTTGCTATTTGAATTTAATGAACAAACTTGGTGATTTGACAGAAATGTGTTGGTAATGCCCGAATTAAAATATTTTATTTCCACGTTGCAGTGTTTTGGTCGTTCTAGCAATTTAAAAGCAATAAATATAGATTGATTTTAATTATTATCTGGTTATCACAGAAGTTTTCTGCCAAAACATTTTCTTAATAAAGTTAGAAAGAAAGTTTTAGTAGTTTTTCAAAGCCTTCAGCCCAAAAACTTGGTGGCCATGAGTCCAAAAACAGATCAGCCTCATTCCGGGCATCCTGTACAGAATGGAAGATAGCACCAGCAAGAAGTAACTGCAGGTGTGAAAAACAAAGTCCGAAGGAGCGATGTCGGGGCCATGTATGTTGGGTGTGGCAAACGATCTCATTCAAATCCATACGGAGTTCAGCCGGTGAATAGAGAGACATGTGGTCTTGGATTATCTTGATGGAACATTACTTTTTTCCACCAGAACTCAAGGAACCCCTTTTCAGCCTGTGTTGTTAAAGTAAATCCACTTTTTTATCACAAGTGAAAATGTGGTCCAGAATTTTGTCTTTGTGTTGATATTCAAGCAGATTAGTTCACACCCTAAGGCTCATATCACACGAACAACACTTTCGGACAATTTCCTCTGTGTCAACCCCCAAAGCGATCTATGGTGATTGGCTGTTGTGAAAAAGCAGAAAAATTGTTCCAAACAGTTGTTCTTCCAAAACAAACCGACATGTCATAGCAGCCTAACACGTCTGTCATCTGCTCGAGTCGGCTCATGCAGCACCTAACGATTGAACTTGTCCGTGAAGTTTATGCGTTGCATAGCACGACTGATGGACATGGCATTACTGTCCAAATGGTTGCATGCTGATCTTCCCTAAGTTCTTGCAGGTGTGGAATGTCATAGTCCTTGTTTTTGAACTTTTGGTACCAAACCTTCACACTGTGTCATATGATACAACATTAGTACCTAAAGCTGTATACATGATTTGGTGACAATTTGTAGCTGATTTTTTGCAACAGAACTGGAAGTAAATGTAGGTTCTAATCTGGTTGCGTGATAAATCCATTTCAAACATCTTATACATAATAATAATATTTTTTTACAAATTTCATGACACAATGTTCTAAAGCAAATCCTTTTTTTTCAAATGCCAAAAACTGTTTGATAAAATATGATAAACATGCCAATGCAAACTGTTTGTGGTGGCTGGAAACTTAAAATCTGATATTAACTACTTACTAGACCCAGGAAATGACATTAAGCAGATTCCTTAAAATAATCTCTCTTTAAATATATATAACATGTGTGTGTAATTTATACAAATCTACAGTTTTATTCAGATCTTGATGAGATTTACACACTTGACCTTCAAAACAAGAGGAAGGTCACTGTCTGAATAAGATTTAAAAAAATGTACTTACATCATCTATCTTAGGTTCACATTGGATTCTTGCTAACAGTGTAAGTTATACATACTAAGCAAAGAATTCATAATTGTGGTTTTACAAAAAGCAAATAATATTAATACACAGTTTGAATTTTGAAGGCCTGTCACCCATCTTCTATTCCTGTTGTTCCATTTCCACATTCAGTTTTTACAAAACAATTAGATGGTGCTTCTCTTTAGAACAGTTTGAAGATGATTTAATTGCACTCTTTGTGTTTTTTGCAAATATTTAAAACAGTGACAAAATCGGTCAAACTGGAACTTCATTTTCAAAAAAAGACATACCAATAACAAATCAAGTACCATTCCCCCCCCCCCCCCCCAAGATTGGTAAAATTCAGACAGTTCACCTTGAACTCAAATAACAGAAAAATCATTGCCTACCTGAGCTTTTAAAAAAAAAAAAAAAACTACCCATATGCCCCCAAATTAAGCCTTTCATTCCACATAAAGACTGGGCAATGCCGGGTACTTTGGCTAGTAATATCTTTAAATATGTTTTTTATTTTGGATGTAGTACCCAAAAAGAAAGCTTCGTTTTGCTATAAATCAATGTAAAATATATTCTGACATTATAATCTACACTGGTGGACAAAATTAAGAGATGGAAAACATTTTCCTACATTTCACTTAAAATACCACACAAAAAACTGGACAGTTGGTTGCCATATGTCACTGTGGCACTGGTGTCGCTGAGATGAGTTTACACATTTCTGTGGGCGTCGCTGTGCCAACAGGAGGCATAAAAGTCCAAGTGCAGCTGCTCAGCTCATTCCGCTGTGCAATACAGTAGTAATGTTTATTGTCTTTCTTAAATAATCTAGCTGCTTTTTAGGTGAAATGAGTACACATCATTGCTTAGACGAAAGTACAAGATGGAGAATTGTGAGTAGGCTTGAGGCTGGACAGTCCCAAGCTTGGGTTGCAGGAGAATTGGATGCAACACCTAGTGTCATCTCTAATTTGCAAAATCAGTTTTAAAATGGGAACAGTATCCATAAGACCAGGACAACATTGCCCGAGAGCCACAACAGCCAATGATGACCGGTATTTGGTACTTCTAGCCAAGAACCAAAGAGCATCTACAGCCACAAAACTCTCTTGTGAACTTGCTTCATTCACAGGAACATTAGTTTCAAGGAAAACAGTTGCCCGAAGACTCCATAAGAGAGGATTGTATGCCAGAAAGCTATTTTCATCCTACTCACTCGCTCCCACAGAAGAGAACATTTACAATGGTGCATACAACATCAACACTGGACACAGCTTTTGTGGGCTGTTTCCATGGATAAGTCCGGATTTAGTCTACAACCTGATTAATTCTCAGCAATTATTGATATGGAGGGAACTTGAGATCTGGTACCATCCCAGCAACATCACGGAAAGGGACCAATATGGTGGAGAAGGGAGTGATGGTCTGGGCAGGGATAATGCAAGTCACCTGCATACCGCTCCAAGTGTATGACACTGCTTCCATGAATGTCCAGAGGTACAGGGAAGAGCTCCTAGAGCTCTCAAAACTTTTTTAGGGATGCTGTTGGCCATGAGTTCATTTTAATAGATGACAGTTCCCAACCACATAGGACCCACCTGGTTGATGACTATCTGGAAAATGAGGATATTCACCAAATGGATTGTCCAGCCAAATCTCCTGACCTTAGTCCTATTGAACATGCTTAAGATGCTCTTGGGAGGTCTAATGAAATACTTCAACTGCCACCCAGAACGATTCAGGAGTTAAAAAAAACTGCTCTGGTAGAGGGTGTGACTTCCACATGCACTCCTGAACTCTCTTATTAACAGCATCATTGTACACACTGTCTGTCGGGAGCAACCACACACCAAACTAGCCACATTTTCACTGCCATCTTTCAACCTCAAGCTTGAACTCTTAGCCATACCTCATGCTAATGAAATGACCTAATTTCATTAAATTTTATTCATTATTTCTCAAAATGTTTAGGAAGAAGTGTTCCATTTCTTAATTTTGTCCACCAGTGTATTTAGTCTAATGATTTTTGAAGTTTTCATTTAAAATTTTTTTATTATTATTTTAGCACTTCAATGTTCCTATCTTTAAAAATTAACACACTGGATGACAATGCATCTATTGGCAAATTTGTGTCCTAATTTCCACTAAAAGCAGCTGAACATAGTTAGAAAAATCCAAATCACTTTCACATTAAAAATACCCAACTTTATAAAAATCACATATTATCAGGCATCATATATACAGTAACTTGCAATATAATGGTTATTTTGCTTATAAAATATATGATTTAACTAATATAGTTCAACTAAATTCCAACATAAACTAAATTATTAGGTATTTATGTGTGATCTCTGTTAACCAGGCTATGAGTGATTTATATCAATAAGTCAAGCCATATACCAGAAATTCTTTGATGTACTCAGTCTAGACTATGGAATTTTAAAAACTATATCAAGAATTTCTATATAATTAGTTTTCCTAATTAAAGATGTGATGAAAATATAATATAAAAAAGGACACACACAACTTGAAAGTCACAGCAAGGAAATATTATTACAAGTTGTGTTCATGTAGAGAAAAGTACAGCATGTGTGAGTGAATTTTTTTACAAATGGAATAGATGTGCAAATAAATTTTAGTATAATTTATCCTCATGTCTGTTTCTGGCTGTAGCTCTAGAAGGTATGTCCCAAATGTAGTGAATTAATTAATACTCATCATCATCATCTTCATCGGTTCGACTATTTTGCTGCTGTAATTGTAGCTGCTGTTGAACAGTCTGTTGCATTTGAAGCCATTGCTGCTGTTCCAATTCAGCTTGCTCTTGACGAGCCTTTACGAAAGAAAAAAGGGTTTCATTATTCATAAAACATAGTAATCATTCTAAACTTTAACAACTCACTATACAGACCATCAGTGTTAAACAGCTAGTACTACAAAAACCTAGTAGTTTGATATAGTTCTATTCTGACTGTTGAAGGTGGCTGAATGTATGAGATTTACTTGATGTCCTTACAAGCCAATTTTCCTTAGAAAATAATCTAGAAAGATATTCTCATAAGCAGATAGCCTTAGTGCACTTTTCTGTCACTAAATAATTAGATCCTCACAATAATAAGGTATGTCCTAAATTTGAAAAGTTCTTCGTTTATTTATCATACTTTTGTCAATTTACAATATGGTTAATTTTTTTAAATGCAGCATACTCCCAAAGAAATGGGAGGAGTGATTTTAAGATCTGTTTCAAATATTAATACAAACATTCTGTATGAAATTTACATCATAATTATAACACCATATTAAAAATTTTATCCATCTAAAAATGCATTATAAGCTACACAATTCATATAAATGTAGATAAGAAGATTTAATTGCTTGACTTCCAAGCTAGCTTTTCTGAAATCGTTATATTCTGATCAGTTATCCCGGTGAAATAATAGAGAATAGATGAAGCTTAAAAAATATTCTTAAAAGGATACAAGAACATTTTTCTTTGTGACAAGATATTACAGGACTGTATTTCCACTTAATTTAAAAATACAGATAAAGTTGTCTGATTCTACCATGATTCTATTAAATATGTGATGCTCCATACAAAATGTAACTTTCTGGTTTATATTCTCTCAGACGTGCAATATCTTTATAAAAATCTCTACTTCTTGCTTGAATTAACTCATTCAGTATCTATCTAATTATACAACATAGCTAGCATCTTCTTGCACTGTAAGGATGAAGATGATTGTAAGAATTTGAGCATAAAATAATTCATATTTGAATTTGTTAATTTAAAAAAATTAGCCTTAGTTTCATTTCACACTCAACTAGACCTTTTCTGTAGTATTACTTTAAAGAAAACAAGCTAATAAATCTGGAACCAAAGATCTCTGAAGAGGGTGAAGCACATTTAACAGCAAATTTTAGGAAAAAAGCAGCATGGAAGAGTACAGAAATGACAGAAAAAAAGATGGTGTCCACTTACAGGAATTATTGTAGATGTATCTATTCATTTTCTCATGTGCAATATATTTCCTTCAAATGTACATATCATTTTTAAGGGATGGATTTTTTTCACACGGAACACTTCGTACACATACATTTATTATACAACTAATTTTTAAGAAAATTAATTGAACCAAATACTGCAACCTGAAATATAACATGGACTTGTATAATCAAAATTTAAAAAATAATTTATATTCTAGTTTCATTTGATTTTCTCTAGTTATTAATAAGTAATTTTTCTATTTATTAATAAGTTCTATTTATTAATTTACTGAATTTCTATTTATAATTTAACTGAAAAAAGCAAGCACACCATGTTTGTTTAATCTAAAATATTTATTTAATTGTTTTTTAATGACATTTTATACTAAGCTTACTAGGGTCAGGTTCTCATTTTTGGATTTTTAGTGGATTGGAAGAGTGTTTTAAATTATTCTATATATTATATACTTTTATTTTCAGATGTTTTTTTGAATAGCACAATTTTTTGTAGACTTGGTGATCTCATTAATCCAGTTAGTAATCTAAAATAACAATCCGATACTTTTTTAAACCAGTAGCTTTTTTTATTATCCTAATGACACTGAAATTACCAGTACACTTGTATTCTAATTGCCAATAAAAGCACAAACTAAAAATATAAAAATCTTAAATCAACCTTCACAATAATGCTGATAACTGCCACATTATCCAGTGAGTATTAGTAATTGGATTTTACATTCTATCTATATGCTTTAAAATTTTTCCTCCATCAAAGCCTTATGGGGATTAAAAAAAAAAAAATATCCTGAATTTATTGCCCATCTTTTTTTTCCCCCTTACAAAAATGGGCATACAATTATTTTATAATAAAAAGTCTAAATGTAACAAATTAGATTTTTAAGAACACAATAATCAAGAGAAATTTAATCAAACTGAAAATTAATTATTGACAATTATTGTATGAACACTCTGTGAAGTTTAAAGTATCTATAACAATACACTACCTATCCTCATATAACAAAATAGGCTTTCATTTTAATGCTTAAAAATAAAATTAAAAAAAAAAAAAAAAATGGGAGCATAAGATATGCTTTTTAAAACTCATAAAACTGTCAATGGATTAAAATGAGAATAATTTATGACTTAGTTTAATGGGAACCAAGAGATTAAATATTTCTCTTACCAATTCATCTACAGTTTTAAATCACAAACAATAAAAGCATAGTGCAGCCTTGATGAATTTATAAATATAATGGCTTATACTTTTGACAACGCAACTCAATTATTCAATTTTGCTATTTAAGCACCCATGTTTTTATCATTCGTGATATATATGTGTATCTTTCTGCCACTAGTTTGTTAGAAAAATTTTCTTCTAAATTTAAAATCTGATATAAAATTCATAGCCAATGAACTTGCACATTTTTCCGATTCAATATCAGTATTACAACTAATAAATCTTTATATTAAAATATTTTGAGTCAAAGATGTTAAATTATGTATTGCTTATGTTACAATGAAATTCATGCTTGATGAACTAACAAATTAAAACAGTTTTTTAAGTAAAAAAGTTAAGAATATTTTGATACGTAACATAAAAGGAAGATAACTACCTCTGATGCTTTGCAAAATATATTTTCCATCCTAACCTCAAAAACTGAAATTAAGATTACAGAATTTTTAATAATATAATTAATTACAAGTATGAAGAAAGTACAGAATTAATTAGACATATATGAGAGGCAGTCAAAAAGTTCCATGAATTTCATTGTAACTCTTTATCACCACAAATAATTAATTTATTTTTACTACCAGAATTCATAACAGGCTGTGTAACTGAAGGTAAGAGGGTGTGGTGATCAGTTAGTGCGATGTCAAAGTTCAAGTAAAGGGTGAACATCAAGTTCATATGCAGATTGAGGAAATCTACTTCAGATACTTTGTTAACCTTACAAACAGTTTTGCAGGGACGATTCTTTAAGGAAGACAGCCACAGTTGGAGACCTTCAGAAACAAAGGAATGGGCGAGCAAGTGAGACAATTAATCAGATCAGACCGAGGAAGGAACATTGATGAGTTGGCACAAGAGGTCGAGATCTCTCATGAATCCATTCAAGCAATCCTGTCAGATGATTTGAAGATGAAACATGTCAGTGCAAAGTTTGTCCCATGGCTACTGAATCCAGATCAAATGGAAACTGTGTCAAATGTTTTGAAAAAAAGCACATAGGATCTGATGTTTCTTGAGACAATTGTTACTGGTGATGAGCCCTGGGTGTATGCTTATGACCTGGAGACAAAGACGCAGTCACAACGTCCTCTCCTTGACCAAAGATATCATGTCATGTCAAATCCAAAACAAAAGTGATGCTTATTGCAGCAAGTGAGCACGTGTGTGTGTTCTGATGAAGCCTACTTTAAAGGACAGTAAGTAAACGTGTGCCTGTATTGCAGTAACAAAAATTTATTAAAAAATTATGGGAACTTTTGGAGTACACATGGTATATATGAATAAAAAGATGCTATTGAATTACAAGACACACTATGTGGTACAAATTCTGAAAATTTTCTATCTTCAATTCCATAGAACATTATTACTACATTTAAAGGAAAATCTCCAATCCTTAATACAGATAAAAAATATTGCATCACATGAGGAATCAAATTTGATAAATAAATATAACTTCTGAAAAAGAATTCAAATATTTTCAGCATGTAAAATTTAGGAAAACTATATTAAAATAGCATTTTTCTAGTGCCTACCAGACCATGAAATGTACTGCTTATTTTATACGAAAATTAAGATGATTTTCAATTAGGAGACAACAGTTTGGGCAAGTTTTTATTATTATTTGTATCTAATTCTTAGAAAGAATTAACAAATAAAAAATATTTATACATATAAATGAAACAATTTTCTCGGTATTTTTCCGATAAAGACCTATGCACCACAAATGATTTTGAATAATATTTTTACTCATATTTTCAATTGCTTTATATTTTATGTTTATGATATAATTTATTTTCATACATTTTTTGCAGTGCTTGATATGTTTTCTATAAAAATGTATAGTACTGTGTTATTTACTACTACACTGTTAGAAAAAGAAGTATCACTAAACTTAATAATAGTTTTAATTGGCAATTTTACCAAATTATTGGCTATTAAATTAAATTTAATAAAGTAAATTTATTCCTACGATCCTTGTGGCTCATTGAAAATTCTTACAAAACTTTATAATGAAAAAAAAAAAAAAAAAATTAAGAATTAACTGAAAAATGAAGGAACAATTCTATATATTATTGACCCTCTGACTGGCATACCCGGCTTTATCCGGTCATGAGATTTGTTTTGTCACTTGGTATACATTACCTTATAATTTAAGATATTTTGCTTCCTTACTTTCTTTAATAATTAAAATGTCATCTTAATGAAAGTAAGTTTATGAAAGTACAGACTAAAATAAGTAATTATACAAATTTAGCTAATAAATGCTGTTTAAATAAGTTTCTTTATGACAGATCCAAAAACCCATGCCGCTCAGAAAGTTAAATCATACTAGTCACAACTTAAGAAGCATTCTAAAAGTGTACATTTAATATAAAAATCTGTAAGAGCTGTTTTCACAATTTAATTATGAAAAACCAAAAACTTTATATTATTTGAAGATAATAAATTTAAGTAGAGAATCTATATCAAGTAATGCGAAACTGGGGAAAATACTGCTCTTAAGTAAGAGAAAAAACAACGCTGAATAATAATATAGGTCTCATTTTTGCAGAAGCACATTCTGAGATTCAAACGTGATTGTCTTCTTCAAATACAGCTAAATGAAAGCTAAGCACCAGGAGAAGAAATAAAACAGATTGGTGAAATTATAAGAAAATACTAGCCCCTTGATGCTCTCTGTAACGAAGAAATGATGGAAAATAATGAAAAAAAATAGAGTAAGTGATGCTCTCTAGGAATGGAAAATGTAATCACAATTTATCAGTTTCCTGAAGGGTGGGGGGAAAACAGGTTAGAATTTGACTCTTTCACTAATATTAGGAAATTATTATGGGTATGGAGAGTCTCAAGGAAATCTAATTTGCCAACAGAGGAGATTTTCTTAATGTTTTTGGTAGAAATAAATCTTAATTTGTGGCTTATAGCCAATAATGTTGGATAACAGAGGATTTATTCATTTCCTTTTTCTTAACCATGTAAGGCATGCTACTTTTTAAAGTTGGAATTTGCATTTAAAAAAATCTGATGTGTACACCACGACTTCCTCGTAGGGAATATTAAATTATACGCATTTTTTCTTGCATTTTATTTAAACTTATTGGATTGAATTAAATCTACTTCGCCGACAGCGCATACACCACAACAGAATAAATGTATTCTTTAAAATTCACTCTAGTATTTGTTTACTATAGCGAAACTCTGGCGCTAGTTTACTTAACAGTATTATATTCGTTCATATATAACTCAGAATGCACAAAATTTATATCATTTAAAGAATAGAATTATCTAATCGTTGCCACATGTTCTATTCAAATACTATAATAAAGTTAGAACAATGTATAAAAGAAATTAAGCAAACAAAACAAAAAAGAAACAGTTTTTCACAGACCATTGAGTATTTCTCATTCAATTAATTCACTTCTCACTTCGCTAAAAGGCAAAAATACATAAAAAATTACGAAGTAAATCTTAAACACTTATTTCCTCGAAAAAATTCCAGAAAGGATTACGCATGATTTAATTCGCAATAATAAATGAAGGCGTTATCTTTGTTGTTGCGAAGCTAAGTTTCTCTAGATTGGCAACAAATTCCACTATTCTGCTGTTTCAAATGTAAACAAATCAATGGCCGCAAAAAAATAAAATAATAATAATAATAATAATAAATTAGGCTTAAGCCGCACTTAAACAACTTTTTAAAATTGTTGATAATTCTAAAAATATTGCATGCACAGAGATTACTAAAGGCATAAAAACCCTTAACCGGAAGATAAAACAACATAATTCAATCATTTTTAAAGCAAAAAATCACAATTTACAAACATATAAGAGTAAAGAAACTGAGATCACTGAGCCGGGTAACAGAGTGGATATATATATATAAATATTTATATATGTTTGGTGCGGCCGATTGCAACCAAAATACGAGGTGCACATCTACGTGTTATAGCAGTCCTATATATAAAATTTCAACGTTCTGAAGCTACTCGTCTTTGAGTTATGCGAGATACGTATGTACGTCCAGCTATAACGTCCGTACTGCTATAACATATATATAGGACTACTATAACGTCCGTACAAACACCACAGGTATATGTAGGACAGCTATACGTACAGGTGTATATAGGACTGCTATAACGTACGTACAGATACCACGAAAAATTCTCTTCAGAATTAATTTTAAAGCAGTTTTATAATTTTTTTGGAGGAAACGAGTCTTTTATTCTGTCCTTATGTACAGATATCACTCAAAAACATCGTTAAATTGCATTCGATAGCGGTCAAATGGATTTTTTTCGTTGAAATATGCTGCCTGAAATTTTTCGCGATTACAATACTTCCTTTTTACTTCGTACAAGGAAGTAAAAAGGTAGGCAGTCTAATTAGGCCTAGAGGAGTACATACGTAAAATTTTGTAAAGATTGCACTTATCGTTTTAATTCAGTGAGTGTGTCCTAAGCGGGCAGACTGACCAAACAGAGCTTCAAAAAGAGTGCTGAAACGAGCATTGCTGGGAAGCGTGTAAAAGAGTAAGAGATTTTGTCTATGATTAAAAAACACTAGATTCTGAATACCAGAGCAGATTTAGCATTACTCAGGGTGTGCCACGGGAAGATCTGCTACTCTACACCCCCCTTAAAAGCTTATTTTTTGTTGTATGATGATTACATGCTTATGAATTGGAAAAAAAAAAAGTAACTTGGGTATATGATATTTACATTATTTACACTTTAGTCTATTTTTTTTTTTTCATCGTGGTACTTTTCTGTACATGTAAAATCTGGAAGATTTCTTTGAAAAATGAGGGTTTTAAAAAAATAAACATGGCTAAAATAGATGGACTGGCTTGTGTTGAGCTGCCATCTACTATAAATAAAGAAGGTTCAGAGTAACCTATAGTAACCTTCAAATCCTTTTTCATTTAATTTTTCTGTGCGTACAGAAGGAAATTTTTAGGTGTGCCCGGACCAGGCACACCATGTCGCAAAGGGTTAACTAAGACTTGCTTTCTGATGCAAAATTTTTAAACTTGTTTTCTTTACCTGTGTATCTCAATCCACACTGAAAGGAAATGCCGTGAAGTCTCCAAGAATTTATATCATGTCTTTCTTAAATTGCAAATAAAAACGTAATCATGCTTGATTGTTGAAAGTACTTCTATTGTAATAAAACCTACGTCAATCGCACTATATTGTATATTATTTTTTAATTTGCATGTTGATAAAATTTTTAAAAATTTTCAAAAATATATTTCTTATTTATTAATACACTTTTGTGTGATTATATAACAAATTGATGTTTTAAAGCATTAAAATTATAGTACATTATAATTTGATAGATTTGTGTAAATATTATTATAACTGCACTTTTGACATATTAGTTACCCTTGCAAAAAGTTCCTGTTGCTGCCGTAAAAGCTCTTCTTCTGGAATGCCTAGATTTTCTAAGCGAGTACTCTGTCTCCTTCTTTTGGCAGCCATAGCTTTACAGTCTTTTAAAACAGCTTCAGCTTCCTCTTTATACGAGCCAAATCCTAAGGAATCCAATGCTAAAGAAATAAATTTTAAAAAGGAGAATTGAAATGTATGCATATATGGTCCAAGACAGGTTATGCTGAGAATTTAATTCAGTTTTAAAACACGTTACAGAAATTTATACAAACATGTTCATTTGTAGACTTTATCCTATTAATTTAAATTCTATTTTGATTCAATTTTCTTATTTGAAATTAACTACTCTTCTACCATTTCTTAAGACATTTTCAAAAGAGAAATTTTAACAAACTGGTGCTGAATATTATAATAAGGAAACTCCTATAATCTGAATAGCTTAACTGCTTTTATCTGAATGTGAAAACTATTTTATAGTCATTGTATTTACTTCTTTAAAATATTTTATTCTTTTACTTCCTAGAGTTTTATTTTACTCATTTACTTCCTTCAATTACCTAGCGTTTGATATTGTTATCTAAAAATTAGGGTGTCAGCATTCATTCTTAGATCAACAAAATTTAATGTATGATTCACAGTTAAATGGCTGTAACCAGCCTTTTTACACTCGTCTGTTTTATAGAATTGCTAACAAACTGAATATACTGTTGGTCCTTCCACTATAATGATTGATAATGGTGTGCTTGCTTCCTGATTTGGAATCTGAACAAGAAAGCCTTAACTACTTTCACAGAATAAACCACCGAATAGCAACTATTGTGGGAATACTCTGCGAGCATTCTTTTTCACCGCACAAACTCTTGTCAATTTTGACTATTTTCCCAGGGTCGCCTATTCATTCTTTAGACCGTCGAAGTAAATATGGTGAACAAACCTTTCTCATAAAATTCAGTCAATTGTAGTATTTTAACTGATGTTAATCTGTTTATTGTATCACTTCAGCGACGTTAGTTCCTCTGCCCAACAGCAAATGAAACACAACTTTTCATGCACCTCCACACTTTCATTTACATATCGCTTTATCTCCTGGCTATTTAAGCACATTCGATTGTAAGGTAACATATCTTTTTCCTGGAAAAACATTATGGCATCTTCCTCACTCCTCAGTAAGCTAAAAAGTGTCGATATTTTTTTACAATGTTTAAATTTAAAAAAGTCTATTCACACGGTTGTCAAATATATCACACGGTTTGTCAAATTCAAAAAAAGCACTGTTTTTAACAATCATTAATCAACCACCTGTAATTATAATAAGCTTGATGCCGTTTTAAACTTTTAAGTTCTAATTAATAATAAAGATATTGCTAATTAGACTATATTACATCATGTTATATTTTAGCACTTTATAGTTTTAATTTTTTAGCCCAAAGAGTATTAGCCCAGAAGGGCTATTAATTTTGTTTTGGCATTTTGCATTGATTCACAATAAATGTCAGTTCACATTTCAAATTGCTGCCACCAAATATTATTGCCCTGTATTATATTTAAAGAAATTAAATAATGAAGAATCTGCATGTCATATTTTAGCACTTTATAGTTTTAACTTTTTAGCCCAAAGAGTATTAGCCCAGAAGGGCTATTAATTTCGTTTTGGCATTTTGCATTGATTCACAATAAATGTCAGTTCACATTTCAAATTGTTGCCACCAAATATTATTGCCCTGTATTTTATTTAAAGAAATTAAATAATGAAGAATCTGCATAAATGTATGTATGTTCCTTGCATTGTGATAAAACAATGGTACCTAGAGCCATCAAATTTTGAATAACGTAATCTTCCACCCAATATGGGCATTTGGAAATATATTATTAAATATTTAAGTATTTACCTAAAATCAGTAGAAAACAATAAAAGGGTAAAAAGTACAGAATGTAATATATCTAATATTCTATTGTTTGTTTACAAAATCAAAAAGAAAAATATTTTTAACCAGAAAATCAAAATTTTATTGCATCAATTTTCCCCCCTTTTTTCATCATGTAATATTAAAGAATCCCATTTTCTAATTTTTGCTTTGTTTTCATTTTCTTCAGTCAATTCACATGCTCTTCCGTTGGCATTGAATAATTCTTTGAAATATTGAAAAATTTGAATAATAAATTGGAGGTTGGGGGGTCTATAATCCGTTTGTGATATACTGCCTAAATAGCTGTGTGACACATGTATCAATGTGCGGTGGGGCCCTATCCTGCATAAAAATTGCAGAGACTAAATTGCCTTTAACACTGCGACTTAACATTGACACTAAGCAAGCTGCAGTCACACTGCATGTGACAGGTCCAGCTGTTGACAAAAAAAAAAAAAAAAAAAAAAAAAAAGAAGAATTATGAAACCAGCTGTCATACCATACCAAATGGTGACTTTAACAGAATCCAAGGGAACTAGGTAGATAACATGAGTTATTTGTAAGAAACCGATTTCCGGAATGCACACATTTTTACGATCTCGCATTGCGGTTTTACAGATGGATTTCTCCATTACATGGATGGCAAACTTAACTTTTATCGCCTTTAAATGGTAGTTTTATTTAGGTCAATGTTTCTTAAGGGTATACAATATGTTAAACCCGTGTAACAAAAGGTTAAGTTAGATTCCGACTGTTCTTTCATTTAACAATATTGCATACAGCGCTATTTCTCGCCTGATGGCGAGTTTTTGGGACTTTTTTTTTTTTGCAGAAAATAAATCCCCATGGTTTCCTTTACACGATTACCAAGTTTCATAACATTTGGTTCAGTAGTTTTCCTTTTATGACCATTTTAAAGTGGAACTTTAATTATAATCACCCTATATTTTAAGGTTCCAATAAGCCACTAAAGCATCCAGAGGTGATAGAATGTTTTGCATTATTTTATGTCTCACTAGATGCAAAGAATAAGTTTTACACGAATTCTTACATTTTTTAGCTTTATCTTCGCACTGCAGTGAGAATTAATGAAAGGCAATAATTCACTTATATATAATATGCAGAAATAATTTTTAAGAGCAAGCAATTAGTTATAAGTGATTAATTAAGGCAGGTAGATAACTTTAGTCATTATGGATTTACATGGCCACTATTAAATTTTATTTATTTTTTAACAATATTTGTTATATATGCTACTGTGAACCACCGAAATCTGGATAATGCCAACTTTCACCGGTGAATGTTAACATTCACATAGTCGCTTGGTGTATGTCCGAAATATTTTCCAAATATTCGTTATTTCTGACTTACACCGGTAAATGTCGACATTCACCCATGTACTAATGGGTGAATGTTCGAACATATAAGAATATTATATTTTCTTCTCCGTCAATTCAGTCGCGAAATAACGCACTTGAGACTTAAAATAAGAACTTAAGAATATACGAACTTAAAACACACAGTGTTACATTCAAAAGTAGAAAGGAAAAATAACAGAAGTTAAAAACTTAATAAATTATGTGATTCAAATCTTAATTCATTGCAACGACTTAAACTATTATGACACTTTGAATTGCACAAGAGGCCCTTGCTTTTACAACTGCATTTATTTGTGGAACACTTCCTTTTGAAATGACAGCGTGTACATATACTCCTCTCTTTTCGACCTACACCATAGCATATCTGTGATTGTCGACATACACCGGTGAGGGTCCGAATGTACAAGAATTTAATTCAATATTCGAGTTTTCACCGACGTATTTGGTAAATGTTGACATTCTCTGGTGAAAGTCGACATTCTCCAATTTCGGTCTTTCAAGGTAACATATATAAACAATATATAACCTATATTTGTTTAAAAATGCCCTTTTAAAATCCCAATCTAATAAAATTTCACAGTTTAAAATACATTTTATTTATGACATTGAGTCTTAAATGATATTAGGATAATCACACATTAAAAGCTAAAAAACATTTATGTTTTGTAACAACAACACTCAACAAAATATTTTGTCTTTTCAGTTTGAAGCCTTCCCAGACATATTGGCTAACTTATGTCCTTAAGTATCTTTTCTAACAATTAGAAATAAGTCCAAATATGCAAACTAGTGTTCTCACTAGTTTCTGCATGCCTGTCAACCTCTCCACAAAGTACTTATGAGGATTTACTTGATATGGTAAAAGTTAAGAGTCCAAAACTCCCCAGCAGACGTGAAGCAAATTATTGCATGTCTGAAAGTAACTACAGAGTCAGACAAAGGTTTAAATAAGCCTCTTATTTAAAAAGAACTCAGAACATGTTCAAATGCTAACAAAATCAATTACAGTTCGTGGTGATGTAATTAAACAATAGAAGTAAAATTCTAACTAAAAATGTGGACTAGTGGCCAAAGACTATACAATTTAATTTTAATTTAAGCTGGCTCAGTAACTCTATCATAACAAATTCAAATGTTGGCATCGATAATTCAAGGACGAATAATTACAAATTATGAGAAATGGCAGGAACTAATGCAGCGAGTAAGGGAAGGTCAGAAACACACTCCACCTTAAACTCCAAAAATATATGATTATGATTTGCATTCTGGTGAGGAAATAGAAATGGGAAATTATAGTAAAGGCTGAAATTATAAACAACTGTGTAATTTACATAATAATAACTGCATATATGTTTGAAAAATAATTTTCTTTCTCTTCATGTATTCAGTTTCTTTCTTCAACATGTTTCCTTTTCATTTTAGAATTTTTGGATTTAGTTAAAGATTTCTGTTAATTAAAAAAAAACTGAATGCATTTAGGATGTACAGGAAAAGCTGTTAATTGTTTTTTAGTAATATTCATTCAGAAGAAATATGAAAAATATATGATAAGGGTCGGTTATGCAGCTAGCGTGGCAGAATTTTTAGAATTTAATGACACACCAAGCAACAAAATCTAGAAATGGGAAAACTTTTAAAGTTTAGGATCCACAGAGGATTTTAGAGTTTAGGATCAGGTGGGAAAATGCCTAGAGCCAGCCCCGTGCATGATGCACTAAGACATACTAGATTAATCTTTTAAATTGCCAGTTTTCAATTTCTACATTAGTAAAAAAATTCCTTTCTATAACGCCTGTCCATGTGATACGTTCAGAAGCATTTCTGCCATTTTCCATGCTTGTGTCTAGTGAAAAGTAGAGGAAATAAGGAAAG